CTAAAAAACTGATTAAACACTCAGAAGATAGGAAAAAGATAGGTAGACCCAAGTTCAGTAAAAGGAAAGAAAACCTCATACCCAAATAAAAAAATTCAGCCTTTGAACTAACCCCAGGAGCATAGCACAATCAAATGGATAAACATATTCTGAAAAAACTAAAGATCAAAGGAGACATGACACAACAAAAGAAGAATTGAGAATCCTGGTATGGTAGCCACGAACACAAGGGTGGAGAACAAGCAGTAAAGTGAAAATCATACTTATGAATGGTGGAACCAATTAACTAGAAAACAAAATAAAGATGTTTAAAAGAGAAATATAAGATGTTCAAAAGAAATGTGAGAACTAAATCTACCTAAACACTGAATATAAGACTTGGAATTCCAACTAATAGCAAAATCATGACCAGGACAATATAGGATCTGAGGTGAATCCTTTAACAAAACAAAAACTGGGAGAATCATGAAAACATTTGAGATCATGAATTCACTCGCAAGGAATGAACTCATGATTTCCCAGAAAGTAGCACGTGTAACAGCCACATAAAATTAGTAACATCTCAAATCAGGGGTCGCAAAGTTAGGTCGGTCCCCAAAAGTCAATTTCCATCTGGTTCTTAAAACATAGACATAAACATAATGAAGAATTCCCCAACCAACAGAACACCCGTCCAAAATAGACCATAAAACACAATGCTTAAATTTACATAATGAAAACTAGATAAGCAACCATAAAACCACCACTGTCAAGAAGGGATATTCAAATTCAACAGATAGCAAAATGATGGTATCCAGAGAATAACATAAATATGCATGCAGTATTATAAAATGAAAACTGAAATTTTATTGAAATGAGGCGGAATCAATCAACATAGGTCATCTGAATCGTGCATAACGATTCCACCATTTAACGAACAAAAAAAATACGAAATACAAAGGAGAAATTACAGACCTCGAGATTTCACTGGTGAAAAGACCGACCGGTCAGCGAAGTCAAAATAAACCCATTACAAGGATGATCCATTGATGATCTAGACAGAGAAACACCCAATCCAAACATCATGCTTTTAATTCTTAACCATATGGAAAAAATTGGGAAAAATAAACATATAAAAATCTAAAACCCAACAGTGCGAAACAAGCCGGCCTAACTAGGTGAAGGTGTATTAGGGACTCCAGTTTTATGTGAGATAGGAAGAGAGATCTAAACATGCTAATCTTTCTTTGTTCTAAACTAGCCTTTCTCATCCCGCCATGCAAAGTGCTAGCAATTCGAGTATGCTTTGATGCTTCCTATGTCACTATCTAATCCTCGTCTTGTCTTACATTAAAAATATGGAACGAACTATTGTTCCCATTACGGCACTAACTAATCTTTATCTTCTTATCTAATCGTGGTTATATCAACACAACTTGACCCTTAGTTTATTGGGCAACTTTGAAAGGTATAAAAAAAAATCCACATTATCATAATTATCATAATGATTATAAATTAAGAGTTTCAAGACAATATGTAATAATTACTGGATTGGAAAAGGCTTTCAATATTAAAGTTTTTTAATGATTTAAATTGTGTAGTTTTGTACAATTCAAATCTCAATAGTTTTTTTTGAAAAATTAAATGTTTTAAATATATCCAACAATAGACTCTCTTGTTCATTTTTAATAGACATAATTTCTTATTTTGGGCATTTAAATTTAGTTGTACATTTTTCATTTTTAAGATATCATTTAAGATAATAATTGGTACATGTTCCGATTCAATATAATTTACAATAGATTTATTAAGAACTTATTATTTTCTAATTTGAATTTAAGGTAAGAAAAATTTTAATTATAAAATTTAATGGTTAAACTAGTTTTTTTGGTTTCCCGTCCAGTATCCGAGGTTTCGCCCCGACTAATCCGAATCGACCTGCGTCGCGCACCTGAAAATGGTGGGTGAGTCTCCCAATGGAGGCTGCTGCGTACACAAGGTCTCAAACTCGAAATCTTAGTTAAGTTAAAACAAACTGCTTACCAGTTGATCCAACCCCTCGTTGGTATGGTTAAACTAGTAAGTATTGGTAAGTGTGTTAAATAAAATGTATACTAATTATTTTTCTATCATTTAACATGTTTATTTTTACTTTATCTTCATTTTAAAAAGATACTTGTAACATATATTAAATAAAAAGTCTTATTTAAGTAGTATTTAATTAGAGATAAATATAAAATTTTATTAATAATTTATTATATCTCTATTTTATTAAATTAAAATACTAGTTCTACTAAATATGAATAGAGGAATCAACAATTTTTCTTCAATGAACATATGCCAATATCAACTAAATATTGGTTGACTCAAAATTTGAATTGAATTAATGGCTATGAATTGAGATGAGTTCCCAAAATTTCATTTCAATTCAGGCAACAAAAAATGACTTATTTATTCCAATGAGTCAAGGGCATGCAGGGATATTCATTAAAAGGCATATTTTTTTAAAATATTATATAGCTCAATGAATATGAGGTTTGAAAAAATTATAAGAAAAAGGAAAGCGTTATCACTTGGTATGACCTACTTATTTCAAGGATTCCACTCTATAGAAAAATAAATATTTTATATCAGTATCCCAAACTTTAAAAGTTTGATAAGATATTGGACCACAATATACCTTAAAGTTTAAAGTTTTAAATTAGCAGTAACAGAAAAGTTATAATTTTTAATTTTCTATAATTGTATATTCAATAGAAAAATGTCATGTTTGTAAAACTGGTTGACTTTTTGTTTCCTTTTTCTTCTTTTTTTCTTTTTTCTCTTAAAATTCTTGTCCTAAATGTTAGATAAGTGAAAATAACTTAGTTTATTTATCATGACATTAATTTTATAATTTTGTAAGACTTTTCATATAGGACCTTCTTAATGTTAAAATAACAGAGCAAATAAAAATTATAAACCCATTTGTTTTGCTGGAATCATAGAAGCCTAAGCATATAACATTTAATTGAGTCTTGTATTTTTGCTTCTTGATTTCTGTTCTTGGGTTTATAAATTTTGAATTGGTAGTTGAGTTTTTCCTTCTCCTGCGTGGCAATGCAACATATGTAAGAAACTAAAGAAAAAGTTAACAAGTAATTCGAATTTCAAAATAAAAATGTTCAATGTGAAAACTTCTACAACGTACCCAACAAGTGTGGCGCACAACAGTAAGGACCATCAGGACATGTGGTTAGGTGCACGTCCTGAACGCGAAGCCTCTCCCTTTGCTTGTAAATTGTATCCCTCACAATTTCATCCAGTGCTGGCCCTTTGGGTGAGCTCAGTAGCCCGGGGTTTGATGTTTGATGAGATTGGTTTGGGCACAGAGAACCTTCCTTCCTGAAATTCCAGTATATGACTGCATCATTCAAACTACAAGGAAGAACAAGGCATCGTCAAAATAGTTCCACAAAAGATAATGTTAAATCATATGGTTGTATTTGACACTAAAATAGGAATAATCATAAAATTACGCTACTTAATTTTATATGTTGATGACGAAGAATCTAAACTAGAATGCGCTTAATATGAATAAAATTATATTTCAAACTCAGATGTTATTTGATCATTATGAATTATGAATAAATTTATTTCCTTCAACATTTTTAAACAAAAAACTATATACAATATGATATTATATTTTATATTAAATAATAAATCAAAATTATTATATTCAATTACAATTGTTAGCCCAATTAACTGCAAATAAAATAATGGTGAATTAGAAGTCCTAATTGAAGTTTCAGGGACAGTAACCCAATGAAGAAATATCAAATTATTCTTTTCAACCACACAACCCATTAATCGACCCATCATCAAATCCCCAAACTGATCTTCTTATGCTAAAAATTCATCCAATTACTCAAAATTCTCTTTTTAATATGAATAACAAATGATAAAGTGCCTTAAATTCTCAAGATGATATTGATAATTGGCAGAATTTGGGTTGATGTAAAAGCAAGATTGGAGAACTGAGAATAGAAACATTCGTTTCTATTATGCATGCGATGAGATGGAAATGGGCTGATGGGAGTTAGGAAAAGCAGAAGGCAAACTAACCGGCCGACCACATCGAAGGTTACGTGGTTCTCTCCTGTACAGCTGAAAAGCCGTAAATTAATAGGCCAATGGCCCAACCCATGAACACAACACTAAGCCCATTTAAGGAAGTTATAAACTGAGGCTGAATATCGGGTATAAGTATGTATGATATTTGTAGATACTTGATTTATTTAGGTAAATATTTTATTTGTATTTATGAAGAGATAATTAAATATCAAATATGAAAATTATATATCTGTTAAATATCAAATAAATATTGGGTATGAGGGTCAATACATGCATACAAATTATACAAAAATTAGTTAACTTTTTATGAAATTAAAATGTTTATATTTTTTTCTTTTTTTCTGACAATGAAAATTCAATTAAAGAAAAATCATATGGGTTTTTGTTTGTATTTCTTTTGTTATTATATGTATAAACTTGTGTCTGTATGAATATATACTCATGTATTTTGTTTTATATATAAACTCATATTATACGTATAAATTTATAATTATATATTAACTTGTATATTTTTAATATAAAATTTAATAAATTTACAAATATACCTATGAATATATCTGTACTTAATGGATATAAATTTTCAATACCCAAGTAAATAGTAATTATTAAAATCTTGTACACGTCTTTATTCAAGTTGAGTACAGAAATAAACAAAATACCTAATTTATACCTACCCATACTCACCCTTATTACAAACTCAACATAGCAGATCTCGTCATAAAACTCTTTAGATGTAAGAAATAGATTCTGAAGCCGAATCGGCTTGGCCCAATTTTGATTTTATTTTATTAACTCATAAAAACCTTGAAAAATAGAGGAAAATCTAATAAAAATACATGGAAAAGAATCAAAAGATTTAGGTTTCGTTTCTCAAACCGGTACCATTTCTTGGAAAGCGCAGCACTGTTAGTGTCACGCATCAAGAAAATTTACATGTCAAATCCATTATCTTTTCTAAAAATAACAGCGTTCCAACTGTAACTGACAAAGTAATGAGGATCAATCACCAAATCTCAACAAAAGGATTCAAAAACTTCATTGAGTTTAAGAGATGAGTAATGTTAGGGGCAGTCGCCTCTTGCACTCTTCGGCCAACACTTCCCCTTTCATTGGGCCACGTAAGCCTGTTCTAAGCTTTGAGGTTCAGCCTCTTGCCGACCAAAATAACGTGGCCCAATAAAAGGGAAAGTGTTGGTCGGAGAGTGCAAGAGGTGAGTGTCCCTAGCATTGCTCTTCAGAGATAAAGGGCAAAAAGAGAAGGGAAAGAGAAAGTGTAAGCTCTTTAGTAAACCCTAATTTATACCCCAGTTTTTAAACTTTATTTTAGCAATTAAACCGATCCCCATTACAGCCAAACAGGACAAAAACAACCAAGCTAAACTAGTAATTAGAAATGAATTCAAGATTAGCAATTTAGCATCTGACTTTAAATCTAACTTGGCCACCGTGATTTCAAGACTTGAGGCAAGCGGAGAAGGTGCCAGTGGGAACAAAATTGGAGTCACCGAAAGCATGCTTCAGAGAGAATTGGATCTTGGAGTCAGACTCCAACTCCGAATGTCTCTTCCGAAAGGATCTAGTAGCAGTAGGAATGGATGCGGGTTCAGGGAAGCGAGGTGGAGTGCCTCCAGACCGAATTCCTCGTCATCTAGGAGAAGCTCATCGGATTCGAATTGGAAAAAAGGGAGGAAGAAGAGCGAGAGAGTGACGAAGAAAGCTAATATCACTCTCTTCTTCACTTTTCTGGTTTTCCTGTTAGAGGAGGAATCGACGGGTTTTGTGGAGGGAACAAGACTACAAGGGTGATTGGATTCCTCAAAACGACGTATAATACTTTGTCGTTTCACTTTTTTTGGTTAGTCCCTGAACTTTTTTTTTTCCAAGTCTGTATAAATTTAATAAAAAGTCAATTTCGATTATTTGACACTCAATTTTCGAAATTCTAATAATTTGGGTTTAAAATATAAAAGACTATATGCAATTTCTTAAGTTGAAGACAAAACCGATTTTCTAAATTAAAATAAGGTATGACTAAATGCTAAAACTATTTTACTTTTGTTTACATCAAATAATAAATTAATTATACAATAACAAATAAGTTTTATTTTTTTAACTTTTTTTACTTATCTTAAAGTTTGATATTGAATCACCAACATAAATTTTAAATTTTTAATCATTTGATATTTTCACTTGAAACTTAAAACCATTCAAATTTAAAGAGATATTAAGACAATTTTTAAATAAAATTTGTGCGTAAAATTATCCTCACTTTCTTTTTGTCTTTTTATGAATGACAATTTTATTAATAATCTAGGAAGTTGATTTATAAAGCCTACAAATAAAATGGTCATAGCCATAAATTACAAATTTTAGAAAACATACATGATTGGTAATCCCTTGAAAGAATTATCATCTCACCTTTCAAAGAAACATCATTCAATACCAAAGCAAATTTTAGATAGATCTTGTGATCCCACATTCTCTTTGGTTTGTGGCAACAAAACCCACATAGAAAACTTTCAATAGCAAAATTTAGGCCATCACCTTATTTATCATAAACCTTTGCTCATTGGTCTCCCATGCCCAGTTAGCTAAACCTAGACCAAACTCAAATCGAAGGAACCAAACTTATAAAAATATTAAGGTTCTATTTACATGGTTAACCATGTGCTTTAATAATAGAATTATCTATACTTTTAATAATAAAATTATCTATACTTTTAATAATAGAATTATCTATACTTTTAATCATAGATCTAAAATTCAATTCTTAAAGATAAAATTAAGGTTCTATTGAGCATGACTATGGTTTTTTATTTTTATTTTGATATATTTTTGCAACATTAACAAACTAAGAACAAGATAGTTTTAATATTATAAAACAAGTTTGTATTCTTTGTTGTTGTTGTTAAAACTCATCTTAAATAAATTATTAGTTTTTTATTTTTAATGTTGGCTTTTAGTAATTGTAAGATTTAAGAAAACCAAAATTAAAAACAATAAACCATAACTATACTAAACAAAGCATGAAGAAAATGAAAAAAGTTGTAACCCTTCAAAACTTGATGGGTTGGCCATCCAAAATTTAGCATGCCTTAGCATGTTGCTCTCAACCCACCATCCATGCCATAAGCCACCCCCTTGTATGCCTCACTGCCTTCCATTGTGTAGCTAGCATTGTCTTTACGATATGTTTGGTTTAAGGGAAATGAAGAGGAGGAATGAGTCTTTTAATCAATCAAATTATAACTTTTTTAAATATTGTAATTTGATTGATTAAAAAAAAATCCATCCTTCCCTTCCCCTCCCCTCCCCTCCCCTCCCCTCCATTTCCTTCAAATGAAACATACCATTAGGGATTTGCACAGAAATCTTTAGGAGATTAAAGTTAGTGCCCCTATCTACCTCCAATTCGAGGAGGGCATTTGTGCCACTCTTGCTTTCATCATAGTGATTTGCACACCAATCTCCTATGGACAACCAACCTAAACCTCCATCCATCTAGCACTAGTAAGCATAGGTCAACACCAACAATAGTCCTTGCTCCACGCCTTGGCACCCCAAGATCAGAAATTTGTGACATTGCCATGTAGACCTCCAATGACTTTGTTCTTGGGGACTAATCACCCTTAGTGGTGGATTCACCATTTTATATTGCACAAAGCCCTAGGCCAAAAGATGATTTTGCTTATAAAATTATTCTTTAATTTTGAGATACATGCAAGTTAATTTGAAAACATTGTAACTATTAAAAGAATTAAACAATTTTTAATTAATTTTACACTCAACCAAAGATGTAAAAAATACTTTATATAGAGAAAGGACATCCATATTTTCATCAATCCCTTTTTTAAAGTGGAAGAAGGGGGGAATGAGGAAATTAGAAAACTAAAGATATGTTGGTTTGATATCAACAAGAGAATCAGGGGTGTTTGGGGGAGAGAAAAAATTTGGTTACGAGGAAAAGAGGCAGAGGAAATTATGAGAAAAAGTGCAAAATCTTATTCTAGATGGACTTGCCCTGATGCCAATGTGGATGACTTATCTAAATATTTTTTATCCTTCAAATATCTCTTCTGTAAAAATCCTAATCATGATTTTAACTCCAATAAGATTTTCATACAAGGTATATTTAATGCATCTATGGCTAATGCTTAAAGAATATAAATTAAACAAACCCTTAGATAATACAACTTCTTAATTCTGGATTTCTCCTTTCCTATTCCCTCCTTTCTCCGCTCTAAACTAAAAATGAAATAATTAATACACTTGATATGCTTGTAAGTCAAACTCTATGGCACAAGAAATAAGTAAAACTCTACCGCACAGGAAACAGCTAAGGTTGTATTTGATAACACATTTTCGTATTTTATTTTTTAGTTTTTATGCTCTTTTAGTACTTTAAAAATATATAAAATATTAATTAAAATAATATTAAATATATTTTATATATTTTTATATTTTTATTTAATTTTAAAATATTAAAAATATATATAAAAAAATCTACTACTGCAAATACAACAACTTTCTAAAACACAAGTCTATATCAAACTCCAAAAAAGGAGTATGTAAATAAAATAACATTGATATTGCACGAATGAAAAGGATTAAATGAGTTTATTAACTAAATCAGTCTTTTTAGACATAATAATTCATCTCCAATCCTTAATACTTGGTCAGAGAATTCAAAATTTTCCCCTTTCCTCCCCGTAATTTCCCATGTTCAAAAAAAAAAAAAAAAAAAGGGGGGGGGGGGGGGGTGTTCATTAATTAGAGTTATTTCCTTTGACAGAGAAAGAGGGTAAGAGGAAAACGATGGATGCCATGCGGAACAGCTGTATGTGCTGATGGGCGCGAACCGCAATGGCGACGTAAGGGAGGTGAATCGGAAGTACAACCATCGCGATGTCTGCCGCCTCTACTTGTCCGGCGTTTGCCCTCACGAACTCTTCCAATTAACGGTATTCTCCTCATTAAAAATAAATGTACAACTGCCATCTATTCATGTCCCTAAGTTCCCACTTACTCAAAATCTTGTTATCAGAGCTAGTGCTTGTGCCAGGAAAGTCAAGGTTGCTCTCTGCAGCCTCAATTGTATGGACTCTATGTTCATAGGGCAATTTGGCAAAACAGGTGTTTTCTTTTTTTTTTTTAGTTTAAACTACACAGATAGAGGTTAAGTGTTTCTTTAATATTTTCAGACTACGGTCTCACAATTCAGATTACACAGCAATGTCCGGAGTGGGTATAACGTTTCAAATTAATGGGGCTCTGATGGTGGTGACTGAAGTAAGATGTTTGATTTAAAAGTTTCTTTTTTTCCTTTTTTTTGGGGGCCAATTTAAAGCTTCCGTTTAACTGATCGTCATTGTATGTAAGTTATTAACGTATATGAAGTAGTAAATTCTACTAATTTGATTATAATTAGTAATTGGAATCACTATAAATATGATGCTTGATTGTTAATTTCATTTATTCTTGTGAGGTGAGGGTTTTTTTAGACTTGAGTAAGATGAGTAAAAGGATAACAAAATTAGTCATTTTTCATTGTATAATTTAAAATTAAAAAAAAAAAAAAAAAAAAAAAAAAACTTACTTAGATATAAGTTTTTTTTTTAATAAAATTGTTGTTGATATTCTTGTGAGACTTCTAGTTAAATCGTCAATGTGATTTAAATGCGTATCTAAAGAATGGGATCCTCTATTTTCTAATTCAAAATTCACCAAAACTTACATGAAAATCATGGAGTCTAAAAAGGGTGGCCAGAGTTTTGTTCTTTACACTAATGGTCTGGACATTATCCATGCTTATGGCTACCACACAGCGTTCTTTACACTGACAATCCCTGATAATCTGTAGGGTCGTGAAGGTGTTGTTCAAGCAGTACAAACTCCTCCCACTGTGATGCCACTTATAAGAAAAACGGATAGGATAGCGCAGTGTGATGGTATGCTATGCGTCCCTCCTGCTGATAGAGTTGTAGTTTGGAATCCTTCAAGAAAGGCACTTAAGAGATTTCCAGCACCTCCCAAGCCAAACTTTCTATATAATGGTATGGGTTTGGGTTTTGGTTATGATTCCACCATTGATGATTACAAAGTTGTAAATATTTGGCTTGACAAAGGACGAACAACCTTCCAGAGCTTGAGGTTGAAGATGGGTTTGTGGAATGCTATTGTTAGTGACATACAATAGCCTTTTTGTGTTGGGGGGAAAACAGGGAAGGCTGCTAATGGCTGCATCTAATGGATTGGCAAAAAACAGAATGATGATGGTAGGTATCTAAAACGTTTCAGAGTACGTTTTGATCTAGAGAAAGAGAGGATGAGGGAAGAGACATTTCAAAATGATGAGAGAGGATGAGGGAAGAGACATTTCAAAATGATGAGACCTGGAACTCGATGTGTTTTGGGAATTTTGGGAGATTATCTGGGTCTAACAAGCATTGCCGGCCCTAAACATAGTAGTTATTATGATATGTGGGTAATGAAGGAAACTATGTACAGAAATTGTTGGAACAAATTGTTCAGACTTCCAGTATGTTTCTGTTCCCTGTACAACTGCTTCTCCATGCATTATACTAGGTTTTAGCAAATGAATGTAACAGACATGCAGAATTATTTCTTTACAATTTTAAAGATGTATCAGTAAGGAAGATTGCAATCAATGGCCTTGGTTCAACCGTCTCTGAGTTTGGCATGGTTCCATTCTTAGAGAGTTTGGTCTCACCAGGCGCATGTGAATTTGATGAATTCTCAAATCCCAGTACAGATGGCCTTGCAACTTTGTGCAGACCAGTAAAGTGGATTTATTAACATGATAAGTAAAAGTCAATTAATTCACAATGCAATTTAGTAAATAAATAAATAGGATAGGAGAGGAATGTCTTTTATTGTATAGTCCAACATAAGGGAAAAAAAAATATTCAACTATTGATAAAAAAAATTTTAAATTTATAAACCAATCATTTTCTTTACTTCCATGTTACTCAAGCAAACAAAAATGTAATCAAAACAAAGTTAAATACAAATCCTTCCCTTACTCTTTTCTAAATTCACTGCAAGTAAAATTGACAAGCAAGCAGCAATTAATGACTACATACATAAAGGAAAAACAGAGAACTCAAAAAACTAATTTCATATTTCGTCTTGACTACACTTCCTATTTTGTTGGCCAAGGACCATCAAGTATAAAAATGGGAAGAAGTGAAAAGTCAAGCCTAAATCCATAGGAAACATTCCGGTTCCAGGAATGAATTTCTTGCACATTTGATTTGCCAAAATGTCGAGATTCATATTTTCCTCAGCTAAATTCTGAAGAAGCCTGGGACTTCTCAATCAGCAACTCAATTTTCTGGTAAACGAACAGCATAACAAGTTGTAGTTGCAAATAAAAATAATAAACTGAAACCACAAAAAAATTCAGAAGACGTAGTATTCTTTGTTTTTCTTTCTGCATTCATTCTTTCATTCTTTGGGGAGACAACAAATATATTTCTGGCAAGAACCCAACTTCTCCACAATATTTATAAACAAAAGTCTTCTGTTTAGAGAAAGAAAGGCTGGGCTGCTAGGGAATGTATTGCGTATTTTAAAAATGACTCCACATAAATAGTATGATCTATTTAATTAAACAAGAGCGGAAAAAAAATCTCAATCACAACAAGCTGAAAGAAGCATGAAGAATGAGCAAAAGGACAAAAGGATATTCAAAAAAATGTGACAATACATTTATAGATGGTGTGAATAATAATCTAATTTTCCACTTCTTTAAAAAATGTTTGTGACCAAAAAATGTGAATATGTCAATGGAACCCAGCACACCTAGGATTTGTCAGTGGCTGCAATATAAAGAAATGAAAAGGCCCATACCTTTACTGATTTACTGACTTCATCAAGCTTATGCAACAGCAGTGATCCAGGCACCATTCCTTTCTGTTCTACTGACGGATGGTGTGGTGATCCTGTCATCTGATTAACATGTGCAACCATAATTAATAAAACAGCTATCTGGTTTGAAAAGCAAAACATAGAAAAAATACAGAGGAAATAGTTAAGCAATATGTCTTTCATGCAAGAAACAAAAATTTCCTATTGTGTCTGCATTTGCTCTTGGGAGACCTTTCCAATGCCAGACCCTTAAAAATGCAAAAGCAAAACCTTACTTCTGCAGTATCCTTCCCCAATGATCAAAAGATATACTTTTGTTTTGAAAGCGGACCTGAACCCAAAGTGTGTTTTTGCTCCTTCTAGAAGAGAAATATTAGAACCTACCACTTTCCATTCAACCTTTCAAGTCACAAAATTTTATGAATTGGAAATGTTTAAAACTTTAAGGGTTTATCAAATTAAGAAGCAATAAAAAATCAAGTCAACCAGATGTCACTGCACCCTAAATCCAGTTAAGTGTGCTAATCTTAGACAGGGAATACACCTCCACAAGCATGGCATTACATATTTTCTGTCACAAACAGCCATGTGTGTGTGTGTGTTTGTATAAGAGTGTAAGTCCTACTAATTTTTAATTTACATATTGTGAGACAAATTATATCAAAAAAGAACCTAACCTCATCATTCACAAAAGTGAATGCATTTGCCAGCACAAATAAATATTTCAAGACATGAATTGGGCTCATGGACAATTACCTTCCGACTTTTAGATGGTGATCTAAAAACAGCTGGTCCTTCTGTCAAAGATGTCATTCTAGGAAAACTTTCCCCATCACCACCAATAGTCGTGAGTTTCCAACCTTTACCAACATCCTGTATAGCTTTTGCAGCTTCTGTCACAATAACCTGCAGGATATGTTAAACTCACTTATGGTCTTCATTTACTTTATTAACCATATAAATAGATAATAATAAATCATCTAAAATATTGTTTACCTTCCTCAGAACACCTGGGTTAAAAACCCCTTGCACTAGTAGTTCATCTACGGGTGCAGCTTTTCCGCGTGCTATACTTTCAATTCTAAAGGTGTGGATACCATACACTGACTGTAAGCAACCTGTAAGCATGAAAACACATAATGCCATCATTCATTCTTCTCACACATTGCATCCTAACTGTAGATTTTTTGTTTTCCATAAAAGAGTGTTGAAACAAGATCAATAAGGTAATCTATCTCAAATTGACTGCTCTATGGGTCCAAAGTCCACACCAACCATAAATGATACAATTAAGCTTCTGATGGATCAAACACATGCAAAGATGTCTTTTTCTTTCCACATGTGTACTATGTTCCAAAGAAGTATAACTAATCAAACTATTATGATTTCCCTCTGTTGGCAAACGCTCTATGTAGTCTACTATACAAACTGAAATCTTAAGTAGACTATGAGAAGTAGTTAGCCATACATAATTGGTTAAATCAAGCATCTATGAAGGCCTTGAATCGTTACCTTGTTCAATAATGATGTCAATCACCTGGGAAAGAGGTACGTATCTCTCCAATGTTACTTGGCCCCAAAAAGGTATGTAGGAAGGCCTTGAAACCTTCAAAGTAAAAGAGAAATCAAACGGATTACATGCATGCCATACCTTTTACTCTCATTGATAACAATGATAGAACAATGTCTCTAACATGTTTGTATGTGTGAACAAAACTGTATGCTGCAAATATCAATACCTTGTACACTATTTCATTACGCGTGACATACAATTTGCGCGAGGATATGTCCTTCTGAAGCACATATCTTCTAATGGGCAGATAAAGCAACATGAGGATACCAACACCCCAAGCTAAAACCAGCAACGATGATATGGAAACCCAAATAATTGTATCATATAGAATATGGTTTCTGGCAAGTTCTTCAAAGGATGCTGTGTACAATATCTGTTCAGAGCTTCCAGTGTCATCTTCAATCTCAGATTCTGGATCCGCAAGGAGCTGGTCCTTTGACGACCGAAGTTCTGACATACCCTCTGTATGACCCAGGAGCATTTCCCTCCACCTCAAATCTAACAACAAAAAGCACAAATATCAATTTTCTTTCAAGCGCATTACATTTTGTCCTCAGATTTTTTCCATCCCACCTTTTAAAGCAGAAAAGAACATACTAAAAAAGATTAAACTTCGAACTACCTCTTCTACCATGAATTTTCTCCGAACAAATCAAAAGAACATGTAGAAAGAGATGATTTTTATTACCTTATAGCGGCCGTAAATTCTTGGGGAGCTCAAAAAATTTGAACTTTAGGAGGGTTTTGACGCCTGAGACACCTAATCGGAGGTTTCCGACAAGCCAAACTACCAGTCAGCAGTTGATGCTTTCGAGATTAAATTAGGAGGACTGGCAGACGATGAACATGGAGAAACCCAGAACACGTACCAAACATTCAACACAAGAATGACTGAGAGAATGCGTTGGGTGTGAGTATTCACACATTGGTTGAGTCTAAAGTACCACGTTTTGCATACTTGGAGACAGACTGACCAATTATTTGGAGTGTATTTTTATTATATTTTTAAAAATTTTTTATTTCTAATCTTTCCTTCTTCCCCTTCACTCCTGTAAAAACCCATCCTCCTATGCCTTGGCCCCTCCGCCACCGTCTCCTCCGTCATCTCATTTCTACATCTCTGCTCGGAAATTCAGAGGTAAAAGATCGTTCCTTTCGGTTTCTATTTATTAATTGATTTGCTATGCTTATTTTCCAGTCTCATTTATTGTTTTGTGAACGAGTCGTTTGGACTTGGCAATGAATAGGAGAACCACATGATTCACATCTTTGCTGATCCTTGAGTGTTTCGTGTGTTTGAATCCATTTTAAGAATCTCTCAAGCTGTTTTCTTCTTTCTTTGTTTGGCGTTTTCTTGATGCGAAATGATCTTTGCAAGCAATCTTGAGTTTATAATTTTATTTTAAATCCCCCCAACTGGCCCAAAGGTTTGTTCTTGATGATGCATAAGCAACTAAGCAAGGAATTGTTTGTTGAACACGGTGATGCTACCTTGTTCTCATTGAAAAATCCAAACTTTTTTGTAATTCATCCTTCTATCAGGTTGATTGAATGTGTAAACTGCTATTTTTTCCGGGATATGATTTTATGTTAACTAATGGTTATTCAACGGAATGTTGATTCAATTTCTTTACTCGTATGGTTTCTTGCACAGGCAAGTTACACTAATTTCAAATTACTTGAGTGCCTTTTGGGGCAATCACAGCTAGCTGTCTTTTGTATTTCCCCTTCTGCCTTCATTGTGACTTACTCCCCTTATGCTTCTTTGGTGTAATTTACTTGTTCTCTTGCCTAATGAATTTCATTCTGGTTCACTTGATCTTATCTAGTTTGGTCAAAATTTTATTTTATTTTGTTTACCTTAATGTAGTGAAAACGATAAGGTTTTGATTTTTTTTTTTTTTTTTGGGTTAAATGTCTTTCTTTCTTATTTATAGGTTATATATCTGCTAAATTGGAAACATATGCATAGATTGTTGGTTTATACTGAATGGAAAAGAAGCAGCATATTGCCATTTTTACTACAGCAAGTCTTCCATGGATGACCGGAACTGCTGTCAACCCTTTGTTTCGTGCTGCTTATCTTGCAAAAGATGGGGAGAGAAAGGTCAAGTTGGTCATACCTTGGTTATCTCTGAAAGATCAAAGATTACTATATCCTAACAACACTACATTCAGTTCACCTTCAGAGCATGAGGAATATATTCGTAAATGGCTTGAAGAGAGGATTTCATTTACATCTG